TTTTTTTTTTGCCTTAAATTTTTCTTTTAGTGATGAGGGTCTTGCAATTTTGCCCAGGACTTGAACTCCTGGGCTCAAACCATCTCTCCTTCCAAGTAGCTGGGACTACAGGCATACATCACCACATCTGACTGGTATTTATTTATTTATTTATTTAAGAAATAGTGTCTCACCATGTTGCCTAGGCTGTTCTGGAATGCCTGGGCTCAAGCAGTCCTTCTGCCTTGGACTCCCAAAGTGTTGGGATTACAGGCGTGAGCCCCCGAGCGCTTTCAGGCTAAATAATCTTTTTCTCTCTTTTTTATTGAGACAGAGTCTGGCTCTGTTGCCCAGGCTGGAGTGCAGTGGTTCAATCTCAGCTCACTGCAACCTCCACTTCCTGAGTTCAAGCAATTCTCCTGTCTTAGCCTCCCCAGTAGCTGGAATTATGGGTGTGTACCACCACACCTGGCTAATTTTTGTATTTTCATTTTTATTATTTTTTATTTTTTGAGACAGAATCTCACTCTATCACTCAGGCTGGAGTGCAGTGTACAGTGGCATGCATGATCTTGGCTCAGTGCAACCTCTGCCTCCTGGGTTCAAGTGATTTTCCTGCCTCAGCCTCCGGAGGAGTTGGGACTATGGGCATGTACTACCACATCCTGCTAATTTTTTGTATTTTTAGTAGAGATGGGGTTTCATCATGTTGGCCAGGCTGGTCTCGAACTCCTGATCTCAGATGACCCACCCACCTTAGCCTCCCAAAGTGCTGGGATTACAGATGTAAGCCACTGTGCCTGGCCTGGCTGAATAATCTTAACTGACCTATTTTCTTTGTTTTTGTTTTTGTTTTTGTTTTTTGAGACGGAGTCTCACTCTGTAACCCAGGCTGGAGTGCAGTGGTGTGATCTTTGCTGTCTGCGACCTCCGCCTCCTGGGTTTAAACATTGCTCCTGCTTTAGTCTTCTGAGTGCTGGGATCACAGACATGTGCCACCACACCTGGACAAGTTTTGTACTTTTAGTAGAGACAGGGTTTCACCATGTTGGCCAGGCTAGTCTCGAACTCCTGACCTCAGACGAGCCGCCTGCCCCAGCCTCCCAAAGTGCTGGGATCACAGGCATGAGCCACCGCGCCCGACCTGTTTTGTTTTGTTTTAAACTGTGTGTTTAGAATATTATAATGTGGCCACTCTGGAAATAGGAGTCTCCCTCCTCCCCGGGGTGTGTTCTTGCTGTTTGCTGCAGTGGTTATTTAATGACTTTTCTGATTGTGAAGTCTCTATCTTTTGTCATGAGTGGCCATTATCTCCTGTTCTTTTAGACTGGTGGTCAGCTAGTGATAGGACAGAGATTTCTTTAAACATCTGGAAGAAAAAAAAAAAAACCCACAACACACTCCTGAGTTTGTAGAAGGGGTCTGCATGGTTGTGGGGTCAGCCCTTCCATGGTGAAACAGGTTTTCTCTGCCTTCACTTTCACTTCCTGCTTGTGCAGAGCTGGAAGGCCAGCCCGATGTGAGAGCGTAGGGCCCTCGCAGGCCTCTTCCAAGCTCCTGCACTGCTCTGGTCTTATAGGTTCCAAGCCTTCATTCCCCAGAGCTTTTTATTCCCTGGCCTTTCCTCCTACGCTGTTTGGCTCCTCTGTTTTTTTGTCTCATCTGCTCTCGTGGCCCCAGGCAGCAGAGAATAACAAATTTGTTGTAAAGGTTTCCTACAAATGTCCTCCAGGTAGCACTTCAGCACTCGGAGAATGTCCAGTTGGGTGAGATCAAGGCCAGCCCTCGAGCCATACCCTAGTTTGCAGTTGCAAATAAGGCCCCTTCTTGGAACCTGAGCTAGGCCTGTGGTCTGTTACCCTCAGACCACTACAGTCTAGGCAGTGGGAGAGGGACCAGGATGGATTAAAAAGCCACAAAGCTGTTTGTTCTGAGATCCAACTGG